ACACACACACACACACACACACACACACACACACACACACACACACACACACACACACACACACACACACACACACACACACACACACACACACACACACACACACACACACACACACACACACGCACACGCACACGCACACGCACACACACACAACCACAAGTAATCGTCGACCCCCAGGAAAATGATGGGAAAATATGGGGAGCGGGGGGGAAGACGAAAACCCAGGAAATATAGGGAAATATTGGGAATCCGGTTATTTGTGTATTATTTGTGTGTCCTTGGGCCCCTTGATTAATGCCCTTTCGTCCTCCTCGTTGCTAGGGGAGTCTCAGGCTGATCTGCCGACGGGATGCCAGGGCAAGGACCTTGGCGCGGTCGCAGCCAGGCGGGCAAGGAGAGCTTCTATCCAGGTGGGAGCCCGCCTCATCCTCCGCGTTCCTCCCGCCTAACAGCCAACCTGGCCCGAGGACGCCAGAAGAACGCCCCAACATGGCCACATAATGACCAAGCAGGACCCGACGACGGCCCAAGAGAGCCTTTGGAACAAAAATCGGAGAGCCCCAAGACGGCCCGAGCGAGCGCCAGGACGGTCCAAGAGGGACCCCCCCGCAAGGCAGCAATCTGCGCCAAGACGGTCAGCGAACTCCAAAAGAGGGCTTCGGCCGACCCTCCAATCCCGCGGGAGTCGCGAAACACCGTTCGAAGACCCTTAGAATCCCCCGTAATGTAAGCCCGGCGTGTCCCTCTACAGGTGGAATCTTCAAACATAATGTTTAACAGTACCCTGCGGACGATATCCGATTATATTTTGACGATGTTTGCGGATTATTTGATAGATTCCATCTTTCGTCCAAAATCCACCTGAGCGGGAACGTGCGCGACCCGGCGCTAATGAACATCAAGACAGCCTTAACGAATTCAAAGAGAATTCCTTACCGAACCCTGCTTCCCAAACTTGACCGCTTCAGCTTGAAAATTCGCCCACGCCGATCCCGCGCAGTTCGAATGTCCCACAGAACGGCCCCCTTTTTCACTTGAGGCGAGCGCCGAAGTTTCGCGCGGGATGTCCATCATCACCTTTTTTTTTCGCTTGACCAGGAGCGAACGCACAGTGCGTTCTGATGCTCGGGATGCGGAGGGGGAAGCAGCCAGCCTGCGTGTTGATGCACAAGATGAGAGAGGAAGGGGAGGGGGCCGATGCGACTCCTTCATTATCGTTGCTCCAATCCGTCGCCTCGATGAATGAATATCCTGATGGCTATGATGACGGTGCGGAGGTCAGAAAGAGAGAGAGATATAGAGAGAGATAAATAATGGGTCAGGGAGAGAAAGGGAGAGAGAGAGAGAGAGAGAGAAAAAAAAAAAGAAGAAAACAAACAAAGTAGAGAGACAGAGAGATACACAGACAGACAGACAGACAGACAGACAGACAGACAGACAGACAGACAGAAAGACAGACAGACAGACAGACAGAGAACGAGAGAGAGAGAGACAGGAACACGTGGGAGGAGGAAAGGGAAGGCGGCGGATGATAAGAAACAAGAGGGCTAGATGTGGACAGGTGGAGTAAGAAAGGGGTAGACGATGAAGGATGGGAAGAAAGGGGGACAAAGTGGAGAAACGTGGAAGGATATACATTGATGGGCATTGGGAGGATAACGAGGGGAATAGCACGGGGAATAGAATGCGCATGGCGCGATGGAGGGGGTCTTTCGGTTTGGCGATACGTGGCGATCTTGGGCATCGAGATTTGACCCTGACCCGTCCGATGTTGAGCCGCTGCCCGGTCTGTGCTAGAACCTGAGCGCGCGTGGTTCTTATGTATGCATGCATGTATGCATGCATGCAGGTATTTATGTCTGTGCGTATGCAGATATGTATGTATGTGTGTAGATACGCGTGTATGTTTATACCAAAACAGAGAGGGAGAAAGACTGCACAGCAATCTGTGGCAACGCATGTAATCATTCACGATTTGAGTTCCACTCGGGCGAACATTTGAGCGTTTCAGTTTCAGAATCACCAGTTGCAAGGAAGTCTCAAGCGAAACGCCCAGCGTGGCCCACGGACACGTCTGGTGGTGGTGCGGATAGCGGGCGTTACTTGAGAAGGGAAGGGGTGGAGGAGGAGGAGGAGGAACAGGAAGAAGAGGTAGAGGAGGAGGAGGAGGAGGAGGAGGAGGAACAGTACCTCGTCGCCTTGGTTGGTTCGGCTCGCTTGCAGTGTGGCCCTCATGGAGGGCGGTCGGGACCTGGGCCCACGGGAGGGGTGGGTGGGGGGGGGCGGCGTCTGGCTTGGGCCCTGACCTGCGTCGTGGGTCGGTGTTGCTTCTGGGCATCTGCACTCCTTGTGCCCAGACATGATCGCGTCGTAAAAGAATCAGGCGGCAAGTGTTTTTTGTATTTTCGGCCTCTATAGGCCCTCGCCGAGCCCCGGGACCGTAAAAAATCGACTCAGGATGAAAAACCGGCCCCAGGGAAAGGGTCTGGACTTCCGGGGACGCCGTCTTGAAAAAATCAGGACGTCGCATGTCTGGGTGTGCCTCCTGCCTCTTTACCCCTTGTCGTACAGGCCAGAACTTCCAGGCCTTCTGGCGCGAGCAGGCGGAGCGAGCGAGGAGGAGCAGGAGGAAGAAGAGGCCCTCGAGGAGGGAGGCCAGGGCTACCGCCCCGAGGCGGATGCTCGTCCGGCAGAGGGCGCGCGACGCCAGCGCGAAGCCCGGCGAGCCCGCGGAGCACGCTCAGGAGCCTCGCGCCGATCGCCGCCGCCGTCGTCGTTGTCGTCGCCGCCGCCGTCGTCGCCGTCGCCGCCGCTGCCGTTGTCGCCGCCGTCGTCGCCGCCAGCGTCGCCCGCGTCGTCACCGGCGCCCGTGTGGGTTCGTCACCGGCGCCCGTGTTGGTCACCGCCGCGGGGATCCCGTCGGGGCGGTTCGCGGCGCGCCTCGGGCTTGCGCGGGTCGCAGGTATTGGCTCTGGCAGCCCGCGGGCATCGGCGCTTACGTCCTGCCGTCGGCGGACGGCGCGCGCGCTTTCGCGAGGGTCTCCCCTAAGGACCCGCCGTTTGCGCGTGCTGTTGTTCATTTGCATGTACCGATCGCTGCAGATGTTCACATCACATGTGGAAGCTCAGGAGATCCACGCGCGGATCCCTGTAGAGGTAGATGGACCAAATGAGTTCAGTTGTGCGCTTCCACAGCGCAGCCACTGAGATCCTGCACAACTCAAGTCAATGTGGGAGTCCGAACTCAAGCTCAAGTTATCAACCACCACACATGACATCAACTTGTATTCGATCTGCGCACGGATTTCGAATGCAAGGGATTTCGAGAGGCAGCGCCTTGGGGCCGCAGAAGCTTAACCAAAAACATGGAATGCACTACATAACATGTTTTTTTCCCCAATGGGGAAACAGGACATAGGAACAGCAATTTTGACAAACCTGTGGCTCTCGCTACATTTATTGCACAGATCTCCCACAGTTGAAAATCATTGTGTAGTAACCCTTATAAAAGGATTCCTTGTGTGGCGACCTTCCAGGATTATTTTCAATCTGTGGCACTTGCAGTGGCAGCCACAATTTAAATCCTTGTGTAGAAGCCTTTGCAAAAAAACTGATTCCTTGTGTGGCGATCTTACAACAGGATTGGGTTGTGGGGGATCCACAACAAGCAATAATAGCGACAGTCGCTGATGTCTACAGATGTCTTAGCTTTTTCCTCATCGCCTCTGTGGAAGCACAGTTATTTCTCTGCTGCGTCATGTTGTCCTTCTTCCCCACATATTTAGTGGGGTTATCGTTTTCTTCTCTCCCGCGTCGCACCCGCGCGTGCTCACACACACACACACACCTCCCCTCTCCTCCTCGTTGGACACACACACATACACACATACACACATACACACGCACACACAGAGGCACGCATCAGACAGGCAAATGCGTACAGCCGCGCAGACAGGTAAACACACACACACATGCACACACACGAGCGCACCAGCCGCACGCAACACAAACACCGCACCCACACCGAGACACACGTCCGCGTACAGCCGCACACGCATCACACACACAGACACACACAAGACACGCCATGCACAAGACATACGTGTGGGATTCGCAGTTCGTGGCATGCGTGGCATTTTCTCGACACCACAGGGGGGTGCACAGGAGGTGGTCCCTTTGTCCGTTTCGAGCTCAAATAGTGCGGCAGGCATGGCATTGCCTCGACACCACAGGGGGGGGCGCTTGGCGTACCCCCCTTGTCCGTTTCGGTTTGTGGTCTCGCAAGCGCGGCAGGCGTGGCATTTCCTCGACACCACAGAGGGGTGCACTGGGGGTAGTCCCCCTGTCCATTTCGGGCTCACGAAGCGTGGCAGGCGTAGCACTTCCTCGGCACCACAACCGGGGGGTGCATTGGGGATGGTTCCCTTGTCCGTTTCGGGCTCGCGAAGCGTGGCAGGCGTAGCATTTCCTCGACACCACAGAGGGGGTGCCATAGGGGTGGCACCCTGTGCGTTTCGGGCTCGCGAAGCGCGGCAGGCGTGGCATTGCCTCGACACCACAAGCGGGGGGTACATTGGGGTTGGTTCCCCTGTCCGTTTCGGGCTCGCGAAGCGCGGCAGGCGTGGCATTGCCTCGACACCACAAGCGGGGGGTGCATTGGGGTTGGTTTTCCTGTCCGTTTCGGGCTCGCGAAGCGCGGCAGGCGTGGCACGTCCTCGATCGACACCACAAGCGGGGGGTGCACTGGGGTTGGTTCCCCTGTCCGTTTCGGGCTCGCGAAGCGTGGCGGGCGTAGCATTTCCTCGACACCACAAGCGGGGGGTACATTGGGGTTGGTTCCCCTGTCCGTTTCGGGCTCGCGAGGCGCGGCAGGCGTGGCATTTCCTCGACACCACAGGGGGGGGGGGGTACATTGGGGCGGTTCCCCCGTCCGTTTCGGCTCGCGAAGCGCGGCAGGCGTGGCAGTCCTCGACACACAAGGGGGGGTGCATTGGGGTTGGTTCCCCTGTCCGTTTCGGGCTCGCGAAGCGCGGCAGGCGTGGCACTTCCTCGACACCACAGGGGGGTACCACAGGGGTGGCACCCTGTCCGTTTCGGGCTCGCGAAGCGCGGCAGGCGTGGCATTGCCTCGACACCACAAGCGGGGGGTACATTGGGGTTGGTTCCCCTGTCCGTTTCGGGCTCGCGAAGCGCGGCAGGCGTGGCATTGCCTCGACAACATAAGGGGGGGGGTGCATGGGGTTGGTTTTCCTGTCCGGTTCGGATCGCGAAGCGCTGGCAGTCGTGGCACGTCCTCGATCGACACACAAGCTGGGGGTGCACTAGGGGTTGGTCCCCTGTCCGTTTCGGGCTCGCGAAAGCGTGGCGCGGCGTAGATTTCCTCGACACCACAAGCGGGGGTTAAATTTGGGGTTGGTTCCCCGGTTCCGTTTCGGCTCGCTAAAGCGCGGCAGGCGTGCATTTCATGACACACAGGGGGGGGGGTACATTGGGGACGGTTCCCCTGTCCGTTTCGGGCTCGCGAAGCGCGGCAGGCGTGGCACGTCCTCGACACCACAAGCGGGGGTTGCATTGGGGTTGGTTCCCCTGTCCGTTTCGGGCTCGCGAAGCGTGGCAGGCGTGGCACTTCCTCGACACCACAGGGGGGTACCACAAGGGTGGCACCCTGTCCGTTTCGGGCTCGCGAAGCGCGGCAGGCGTGGCATTTCCTCGACACCACAAGCGGGGGGTACATTGGGGTTGGTTCTCCTGTCCGTTTCGGGCTCGCGAAGCGCGGCAGGCGTGGCACGTCCTCGACACCACAAGCGGGGGTGCACTGCGGTTGGTTCCCCTGTCCGTTTCGGGCTCGCGAAGCGTGGCAGGCGTAGCACTTCCTCGACACCACAGAGGGGGTGCCATAGGGGTGGCACCCTGTCCGTTTCGGGCTCGCGAAGCGCGGCAGGCGTGGCATTTCGTCGACACCACAAGCGGGGGGGGGGGTACATTGGGGTTGGTTCCCCTGTCCGTTTCGGGCTCGCTAAGCGCGGCAGGCGTGGCACGTCCTCGACACCACAAACGGGGGGTGCACGGACGAGCGGCCCGCTCGCAGGTGAGGAGGAGGAGGAAGAGGAGGAGGAGGAGGAGGAGGAGGAGGAGGAGGAGGACGATGACGAGGACTACGAGGACGACGAGGACGACGAGGACGACGAGGACGACGAGGACCAGGAGGAGGAGGAGGAGGAGGAGGAGGAGGGGAGGGAGGACGAGGACGAGGACGAGTGCAGAGGACGCCCGACAGGAAGGAGGAGGAGGAGGAGGAGGAGGGCGGAGGTGGAGGTGGAGGAGGAAGAAGGAAGGAGTAGGAGGAGGAACGAGGGGGAGGGGGGGATGGAGGAGGGACTGAGGAACGAGGGAGACCCGAGGAGGAGGAGGAGGAGGAAGGAGGAGGCACGCTAGCAGGCCCACCACGCCCCGTGCCTAGACTCGGGCGGGTGGGCGGGTGGGCGGGCGGCGTCCGCGAGCGGAGAGGGCGGGTCTTGCTGCGGCGCGGGGCGCGGAGCCCTCCCCGGGGGACCCCCCTCGCGGGAGGCCCCCCCCCTCGCGGGAGGGCCCCACTTTGTGGGCTGGGGGCCCCCCCCTTGGTGGCGGCGTGCCCCCCTCCCCCCCCCCCCGCGGGGAGGACCCTCCTCGCGGGAGGACCCGCCCGGAGGACCCTCCTCGCGGGAGGACCCTCCTCGCGGGAGGATCCTCCCCGCGGGAGGACCTCCTCGCGGGAGGACCCCCCTTTTGTGGGCCCGGGCCCGCCCGTCGCCGGAGGAGCCCGGCGACCTGGAGCAGCAGCTGGAGAACCTGCGCCTGACCTCCAAGGCGCTGCAGTGCCTCGGGGGCCTCGGGGGCGTCGAGGGCCTCAGGCGCCGCGGGCGGCCGCTTGAACATGTCCCCTCCTCCTCCTCCTCCTCCTCCTCCTCCTCCTCCTCCTCCTTCCGCAGCCGTTTTGGCTCTGGCTCTTCTGTAGGCCCCCCGCTCTTGGACTCTTCCTCGGCGTACCCTGCGACCCCAGGGTCACGGGGCAACGCGGCGGGCGTGTGGGAAGGGGGAGCAGGGCTTTGGGCGCACCGGGAGTGGCGACGGGGGGAGGCCCGAGAGCGCGGCGGCTTTCGGAGTCCAGGTGGCGCGACATCGCCGCGCTTGGCGCCACCGCCGCCCGTCGTGCGGCGAGACAGCGGCGCCGAGCCGCCTGCGAGGCTACCATCCTGCCCCTCGCGCAGGCTCGCGGCGAGCCTGGTTCCTGTAGGGGCCGCGCGCGGGTGGCAATGGTGGCGCTGGTGCTGTTTGCCCAGGGACGCCGCTGTCCCGGGCTCCCGCCGCCACCGCCGGAACGCCGCGTGGCACGCTCAGCGAGTCCCGCCAGGCGGATTCGCCCACGCGCCCGCGGAGGACATCGCGTGGGCTTCTCAGACCCCAGGCTCGGCAGAGGCGGCGCTGAGCCCGCCTCGTGCGACACCGCGCCGACCGTCGGCGCGCAGCTGGGCGCGGAAGCCCAACGCGTGGGCGCCTCGCCCCTTCCCGCTGGCGCATCCCAGGAGGCTGCCGCTGGCTACCCCCCCATCCTGCTTCCTCGTCCTGGTAGTGCTCCTCGCGCTCGCGACGACGCCGATGTTCGTCCAGATGCTCGTGTACTTCTTCGTGGTGCTGCTGGTACTGGTCGTCCCCACGACGGCTCGGACGCGCCGCAGATGGGCGAGCACGACCCGTGCTCCCACGCGCCCGACGTGCCTGAGGACGAGGACGGGAAAGTGGCGGAGCAGTCGCACGACCTGGGAGGCCACGCGCTGCGAGGGGAGTGCGGGCATGCTGAGCAGAATCGTGCCGTTCGTGCGGGCGCTCTTCCGCTCCAAGAAGAGCATGCTGGCCCCCCGCGACAACGACGAGATCATCCTGACGGCCACGATGGCGACCGCGCGAGCGGCTTTCGACGGAGATGTTGTGCCCCTCGCGGAGACCGACGATAGTTTCGCAGGCGCCAGCGCGTCGGAAGATGTCGGGAGCGCCTCCTCGGGGCGCAGTAGTTCCTCAGGCTGCTCCTCGCCATCCAGATGCTCCCGACGCGCGCCTGGACTCCACGGCGGATGTGGCTCGCGCCATGGGGGTGGGCGACGCCCCCTTTGCCCAGGCGCACGCCCCTCCGCTTCGACACCTCTCCCTTCGCCCCCCATCCTCGGCGTCAATTCCCCCGACGGCGAGGTGGAAGAAAGCGGCCCTCGGGCGCCTGCGGGAGATCCCCATCGTCCTGGGGGCGAGGTGAGAGTAACGCTTCGGCGAGTCCCTCGTGCAGCGTTTCTGAGGGAGCAGCTTGACGCCTGGCGTCCTGTCGGCCCTGGTCCGCACCCTGGTGCGCCTTTCTGATTATCCCTGATTGTCCTCCTCCTCCTCCTCCTCCTCCTCCGCATTCATACTCAGATCACGAAACCTCCTCCCCGCCCCACCCCCTCCTCCGCCCTCCTCCTCCTCCTCCTCCTCCTCCTCCTCCTGCTCCTCCTCCTCCTCCTCCTCCTCCTCCTCCTCCTCCTCCCCCTCCTCCTCCTCCTCCTCCTCCTCCCCCTCGCGTGACTCGCGCTGTCCTGGCGGATGTCCCTCGGCCTCGGCCCTCCCACGCCCGCCGGCGGGCCCTCCGGGGCCAGCGGGGCCGCGGCGCCCGCGGGCACGGGCCGGGGCCTCCCCTCAAAGGGCGCTGCGCCGCGCCACGCAGAGGCACGTCGCCGGATGCCCCGGGGGCCGCGCCCGCCGGGAGGCGGGGCGCGGAGGTTTGGCGAAACAAAAATCCCGACGGGGAGTCTTTCGCCACGTGCGGCCTCCGGGGGGCCGCCCCGGGCCTCGGGACCGCCAGGAAAGGGTTCAGGGTGACAAGCCCGTCCCGGGGAAGAGGTCCAGACCTCTGGGGATCGACGTTGTGGTATCATCACGACGTCGGGGTCTGGGATCTAGGCCTCCCAGATGGGGTCGGAGCAGATGGGGCTGGAGGATCACACCGCGTCGCCGGTGCACCGCCGATGCGGTTCGATGTGGGGGCCGCTTTTCTCCGCGCTGGCGTCGCCGACGCACCGCCGACATCTTCGATGCATCGGCGATGTATCGCCGATTTCTCGGCGGTGCGGCGATATCTTCCGTCCCCATCTACAGTGGAGACCCATGCCAAGAAACACCCTGCTTACAGTCGGCCCAGATTAGTAGGTCGACCCTGCCAAATCGAGGGTACCCCTGTGTCTTGTGTCTCGCGACCCATGCTTACTACATTCCTGTGGCAGTGTGGCCCTCGGAAGGGTCTTGTGTCCTCTCACGTGTCCTGTCCAATCAAGTTGCTGGGTGCCCTGGGTTTCTTGGGTTTCGATGGTTTTGCGATGGACGGCGTGGCGTTCCCACGCCAAAGATCGATGGACTTCCTGGGTTCTCAGGGTTGGGTTTCTGGCGGGCGGTTTCTTGTGGTCGAGCCCCTACTGTACTTCACCCGCGTTTCATCGCAGCGGCATGAGGTGCGCTAGGACGTAAGCGCGCGTGCGAAGCGCGCGCGCGTGGTTTTATGATTCAATGATTCCCCCCCACCCTGTCGTGTTTGACATTTTGACATTTTGATGATGTTGGCCCACGACATTTGACATTTGGTTTTTTTCATTTCATGATGACCCACGACATTTTGGCATTTCGGGGGCCTCCTGTGTCCCTCCCCCGCCGCTCAACTCAGCCCTGGGGGCCGACGAAGACGCACGCAGATTGTTTCGAGCCGCTTCACGAGGCCCCGAAGACATCCTGCGATGGCTCCAAGATGCGCCCTGGGGGCCCCAGGAGGCCAAGCTCCTGGCATCCCTGGGCGAGACACGCACGTGTGTTCTGCGGAGCCACGCTTGGAGGTCGAGCAGCGCCCCCCAACGGCCCAAGGGGCCCCAGAAGCTCGCCCCAAGACGGCCCAGGAGGCCCCCTTTGGTGGTCCTCCGCAGTGGTTCTTCCTTAGACCCAGGCTTGGTGGTATATCCTGCCATGTTTGGTGGCATTTGAAAGATACACAGATCCTCGATTACCGTGACGCCCCCAAACAAAAACAACAAAAAGACGGCCCAGGAGGCCCCCCGACAGGGGCCCCCGGACGGCCCACGAGGGCCCCGAGGCGGCCCACGAGGCGCCCACGGCGGCCCCCGCGGGCCCCACGGAGGGGCCCAGGAGGGGGAGCTCCCACGGACGCTTCGGGCCCTCCGCTCTCGCAGGGCCCGCCGGCCCCCCCAAACCCGGGGGGCCCCCAACGAGGCCCCCCGAGAGGCCCCGAGAGGCTTGGAGTCGCCCGTCGCCCCTCAAAGAGGCCGCCCAGAGGCCCCCAAAGGGCCCCCAAGAGGCCCCAGGAGGCTTGGAGAGTCGCTCGTCGCTCCGTGAGGCGCCCGAGAAGCAGGTCAACGGACCCCAGTCCCGAGAAGCATGTCGACGGCCTCCATTGGGCGTGTTCGCGCGGGGGCGTCTGAATCATTCGGCACATCCTTCACGCGGATCGTGCCCCCCACAAGGACCTCAGCGCGCCCGTGTACGCGTGCTCCGCAGCAGCCTGCTTTCCGCATTGCCCTGCGGCGCGCAGTGTATGAAGAGAGACCCGCGCTCTGCGCTACACATGACAGCATAGGGATGGGTTCGTCGCCAGGCCAATTGCTTGCTCATCCATGGCCTGCGGCCCACCGCAAGGAGGAGGAGGAGGCGGAGGAGGAGGAGGAGGAGGGAGGAGGGAGGAGGGAGGAGGGAGGAGGGAGGAGGGAGGAGGGAGGAGGGAGGAGGGAGGAAGGGAGAGGAGGAGGAGGAGGAGGAGAAGAGAGGAGGCGGAGGAGGAGGAGGAGGGGATGGAGGAGGAAGAGGAGGAGGGAGGGAGACTGTTTAGGAGCGCGAAGCAATACTTCCGTACTCCTTGAGTGCAAGTTTTGGGCCAGAGGGTTTTTGGGATATTTGTAACATGTGGGGTTTCTTGTCATGCTTCTCGAGCGCCTCGTGGAGCGACTTTTGAGGCTTTCCCTCGGGAGCCTCCTGGCCACCCGCATCAAGTCAGGGGGGGCGCGAAGAAGAAGCAAGAGCGGCCCACCAGCGGCTCGAAGGTCTCCTCCTGCTCCTCTTCCTCCTCTTTCTCCTCCTCCTCTTACGAATCGCACGAATTAACATATCATCACACTCTGGGGCTCTGGTTCTGCGGGAAGTGCGGTTTCTTTTGTTCCCACAACCTTCGGAGCGATCTCAAAGAGTCGTGTCACAAGCCCCTGAACCCGACCAGGAGAGATTACCTGGATCGCATCAGGAGAGGTCTTGTGCCCAAGGTGCGGAGTGCTGCCGAATTGGCAGCGCGTGCTCGTCCATTAGATACGACACCGTCATGAAGCCATTCCATTCCATTCCTCTTCCTCCTCCTCCTGCTCCTCCTCCTCCCCCTCCTCTTCCCCCTCCTCCTCCTCCTTCTCCTCCTCCTTTTCATCCTCTTCCTCCTCCTCTTCCTCTTTCTCCTCCTTCTCCTCCTGCTGCTCCTCCTTCTCCTCCCCCTCCAAAACCGCTCACGAGGCGGCTCCAACGGCCCCCCTTGACGGGACCAGGGGGCCAGACGAGCTCCATGCAGAGCTCCCCCAGGGGACAAACATACAGGGAGTTCAAAAAGCTAGACGGGCATGCCCGGTAGTTCTTGCATCAGCCTCGTACATATTTTGCCTTTCCGTTCCTCAGGGCGCCCACGACGGGCTAAGAGGCCCCCCCCCCCCCCAAAAGAACCGGGAGGTCCCGTTTAGAGGGGTTGTGGGTCGCAGGGTCCCAGATTAGAAATAGATGGGAACGACTGTATACATATATACATATATATACATATATATACATATACATATATATATACATACATATAGAGAGAGGGACATACAAGATTGCATTGGCGTTTCGCGCCATGCGCCTTGTTCCGGACCCTAACCATCGCTTGTTTCAGCAGGGGGGGGCCTCGAGGCCTGGACGGGCGACTGGCTCATTTTTCTGATTTCTCTGGTGTCTTCTGACACCGCGTTCGCCCGATGCGTTTGCACGCTTGTGTGCCAGAGTGGGGAAGGAATGATGATTTGTTTCACGCGCGAAGGTCCTTTGAGGAAGTAAGGAGCGTTCCCATGACACGCCGAAGATGTCGCAGTAGCTCCGAACAAATCATAACAAATCGATGTTTGGTCGTTTCCTTAGTGCCTGGAGGGCTCCAGGCACTCAGGAAATCTTCGATCGTCGAACTTCGAATCTAGATCCATAGCCTGTTTCTCTCGATCGAGGAACATAAACCTCGAGCCTCAAGCGTGGAACCAAGATCGTCAGGTCAGCTCGATGTACTTCGTAGGAGAACGCCATCTGGGCGTTTTTGGGGTTCCTTTGGGCCGTCCTGGGGCCCTCTTGGGCCGTCCTGGGGCCTTCTTGGGCTGTCTTGGAGAGCTGGGGCCTCCAGAGGTTTTCTGAAGCCATCCAGGGCCCTCTCGGGGCCCTCCAGTGGCCTTTTCGGGTGTTTCCCATGGCTTTCGTGGGTCTCTCCTGGGAGCCTTCTGGGGGCATCTTGGGCTTTTTGTGGGCAGTCTTGGGGCTCTCTGGGGCAGTCTTCATCCCCTCTGGGGGGCCTCCTGGGCCGTCTTGGGGCGATATCGGTGGTCCGTCGGGCCGTCTTGGACGCTGCGAGGACCCGAAACATGGACATGCTAAGCATATACGCTTTTCAGCGGGAATGAGACGATGTTTGCTTTTTCGGGGCTCTCTTAACGGCGTCTTGGGGGCCCCGTGGGCCGTTTTCAGACCGTCGGACTTCCTCTTGGAGCGCTCTTGTGCTGTCTTGGGTCTCTGTTGCGCCTCTCCAGTGACCCCTCTGATCGCCTTGAGTCTGCTCGCAAGGCCCGGCATGGCGCCCTGGGAGGCCTGGAAGGGCCAGCTGACCTTTTCCAAGGGCGTCCACGGGGCCGCCGAGACGTCCGAAAGGGCGTCCAGGGCGTCCATGGAGGGGGGTCCGGTTTAGGGGGGGGACCCAAGTAAATATATATATATATATATTAATATAATATAATAGAATACATATAACGGGGGACCGGGTCCGGGGGCCCGGGGCCGGGACCTCGACCGCAAATGTGGGCTCCGGGGGGCCCGGAGGCTCGTCGGGGCTTGCCGGAGGCCTCCCCGGTCAGACAAGAGGGCCCCAGAAGCGCCCAAGACGGCCCAAGAAACTTCAAGAGGCCTCCAAGAGGGCTCCGAGATGCTGAAGATGGCCTCCAGACGTCCAAGGACGCCCCCAAGAGGCCCCAAGAAGCCTCCAACATGCGTCCCAAGAGGGCCCCTAGACGCAAAAAATTGCCCATTCCCTTCGTAAATCGTACATTTTCAACAAAGTTGACTTTTGGGCTTTCCGACGTTACAGGACGGCCCAAGAGGCGCCAAAGACCGCCCCAAGACGGCCCAAGAAGCTTCCAAGAGGGCCCCAGGACAGCCCAAGAGGGCCCCAAGACGGCCCAAGAGGCGCCAAGATGGCCCAAGAGGGCCCCAAGACGGGCCCAAGAGGGGGCCCAGAGGGGGACCACGAACCGCAAGAAGTCCCTCGAGCCCTTTCCTGCACAAGAAGAGGGGGGTTGGGTGGCCCTCCGAGCGGCATGGCGACACATTTGGCGTTAGGTGTCCGTGATGGACCAGGCCCCCCCCGACGCGCCCTGACAGGAGGTCCGGTACCACGTATGGATCACCCCCCCCACCCACCCCCCCACCCCCCCACCCCTCCCCCAAGAGCGTATGGATGGGCTATGGTGAAGCTGGCGCAATAGCTACCCCGCCCCCCAAATGATGATCCCTAAGGCGGTGGTAAGGGCGTAGTGCTGGGGGCGCGGCCCCCGCCAGGAGGCCCCAAGGAGGCCCCTCAAGAGGCCCCAGGAGACCCCCCAAGAGGCCCAAAGGAGGCCCCGAGAAGCCCCAAATCGGCCCCCCAAATGCTTCGAACCTGCTTCCAGGAGGCCCCCGACAGGTTCAGAGGCTCCCAAGAAGCTACGTCAATCTCCCAGCGAGCGGCCGGACGAGGCCCCCCAAAAAATCCCAAGAGGGTTCCAGTATTTGTATCCTTCAGCGCTCTCTGGCCTTCTTTCCCCTGCCCCCTTCCCTGCGACTTTCGTTGACTCAAGCTCGCCTCCTCTCCATTTCCTCTCTCTGCCTCTCTCTCTCTCTGTCTTCTTCTCTCTCTCTCTCTCTCCATCTCTCTCTCTCTCTCCTTCGCTCTCTGTCTGTCTGTCTCTCTCTCTCCCTCTCTTTCTCTCTCTTTCTCTTTCTTCCTTTCATATTCCGTGTCCTTGCGACCTTCTGCAGTCCCCGACGTCGCCACGGCTGGATCCGCTCGAGCGTGTCTTGTGATGTGCGGCGGTGCGAAGCCCGTCCCACTGATCAAGGCACAGGTACGAAATGATGGGTCCATCATTTCTTGCCTTACCATGTGCGTTTTCCCAATCGATTCCTGGGCCCGAGGTCGCAAAAATTACGACGTCGGAGGTCTGGGGAGGCGGGAAGCACGACCTGGACCTCCGACATCTTGGAAAAATCACGACGGCGGTTTCGGTCAATTTTCGGCCTCCGGGGCCCCTCGCAGGGTCCCGGGACCGTCAGAAAACGACTCAGGATGAAAAAAAAAAACACATCCCCAGGAAGTCGTCGAGAGGTCCAGGGGCCGCGCACAGAAAGCATCACGACATCGGACGTCCAGAGAGGAGGTAGGAACACGAGGAGGAGGGAGCCCAGACCTCCTGGCGACGCAACACCAAAGACAACAACAGCTTCCCCGCGACTTCCCCCAGAGACTCTAACTACAGAAACTCCTTTCGTATTCCGGCCAGAAGCATCCAGAAACGATGTACATTAGCCCTGGCGGGGGGAGTGATGGCGATGGTGATGTTCATGATGACGACGGTGACGATCCTAGCTAGAACCTAAGCGCGCGCGAAGCGCGCGCGTGGTTCTAGTACATATATATATACCAGTGAGAGTGAGAGAAATTTACAAATACTTCCGCAGGCCGAAAGATTTTCCTCTTGAGCCCCACATGTCGGAAGCGACGCGCCGTTCAGGTGAGCGGATACATGTAGCGCTCGCTTCGAGGTGGGGTAGATGTGTTATGGGTGAAGATGCGGGAGTTGGCCGGGCCCGCTGTGGCGTTCGAGCAAACTTAATTATGTTATGGGGGGACTTTCGGGAGATGGCCAGGCCCGCGGCGGCGCTCGAGCAACCACATGTCATGGGAGAAGTGAAGGGAGGTGGCCGGGCCCGCTGTGGCGCTCGAGCATCCGACTTGGACACTTTGCTTGTGTGTCCTCGCCCTCCCTCATCCCTTCCTTTCCTCCTCCTCCCACTTCCCCCCTCCTCCTCCCGCCTCCTCCCTCCTCCTCCTTCCTCCTTCGTCCGTCCGCCTCCCTCCTCTCCCCTCCCTCCTCCCTCATCCCCCTTCTCCTCCTCCTTCTCCTCTTCCTTCCTCCTCTTCCTTCCTCCCCCCCCCTCTCTTCCCTGATTGTTCCCCCTCTCTCCCCCCCTGCGTCCCCTTTGTTCTCCTCCCACCTCCTCTTGCCTTTTTCCCTCATCCTTCCCCTCTTCATTCTGGGAAGAACCCCCCTCCCCCGTAGAATCATAGCACGGTCTGCATATTCAACAGCCTTCCCTCCCTTCCGTGGACCCCCTAACCCCACTTACCTCCCCCGAGTCTCCGCCCCCCGTTCCCCTGCAGCTCCGTGGATACTGGGGATGTAGCATGATGCTTCACTTGCGGTGCTCCGCGGATCCAATTTCCCCTGGGTCCCGGATGTTAAATATTATTAAATATTTATTCCCGGGAAATAAATGAATCCATTGTTTTTTTCACACAGGAAATTGGATCCGCGCAACACAGAAATAGGATCCACGAAACTTTCCCACACCCGAAAATAGGATCCAATTGGATCCGTTGATGCTTTCATATTTTTACTCCAAGAGGAAAACACTTTCGGCCTGGGGATGTAGTTATTCTTGTTCCGGGAGGGGGGGAACCCGCCCCCCCCCAATAAAAAACATATCTGTCCAAGCAAGGAGCCCAAATCGGTCACGAGGGCGGCCGAACGGCGCCCCGAAGACCCCAAGAGGCTCCAAGAGGTCCGAAGCATTCCAAGTCGTGACCCAGTCGTTCAGGGAGATTGCGATTAGAAGCAGGGTGGCTCGGGGGGGCCCCCTGAGGCCCCCAGAAGGCGCCCAGAAGACCCCCAGAAGGCCCCAAGAGACTGTTACATTTGTGAGGCCCCCAAGAGGCCCTTCAAGGAAGACCCCCCGCAAAAGGAGCGGAGGAGTATGGACAAGAATACTCAGGGTAGGACGATCATGAGAAAGAGGAAGTGGAAGCATGAGAGAGTGCTAAAGAACAACCGAATCACAACGACATCGGGGAAGGCAACAAGGAATTTTCCTTCTTGTTTTCTGTTCTGCCCTCCTGCCCTTCCGCCTTCGTGTCAAATTTCAAGGGCCACGGTGCACGGCGCGAAGCGCTAATGCAATCTTGTCTATAACATATACGTGTGTATACACAAGCTACAGCTACATACGTACACGTCTGCAGTAACGTATGCAGCGTGCATCGTGATTTGGCCTTGTCTTGGCAGCGCAGCAGCAGGAAGAGGCCGAAACCCTGGGTTTCGGCCGTGGCGTCTGCTTCTCCCCCCTCCGCCCCCCCCCCCCCGCAGGGCACATGGCCTCGACGGGTTCGCCGGTCATAGCAGCCTCGCGGAGCTCGCGGAGCTCGCGATGGGCGACGCCCGCTGTGCGAGGAGGACCCGTGGCGGTCGTCGTCGCCGTCGCCGCTGGCGGCCCTCTGCGTGGAGCAGCAGAAGCGTTGTCGATCGTCGTCTTCGCTGCTGTCCGTCGTCGCCGTCGGAGGTTGGAGCGAGTTGGGACGGGGAGGAGGAGGGGGAGGGGGAGGGGGGAGGAAGAGGAGGAGGAGGAGGAGGCGGAGGAGGAGGAGGAGGAGAAGGAGGAGGAGGAGGAGGAAGAGGAGGAGGAGGAGGAGGATGGGGGGGACGAGGGAGGGGAGGAGGAAGAGAAAGGAGGAGGAGGAGGAGGAGGAGGAGGAGAAGGAGCGGGGCGAGGAGGAGGGGGAGGGGGAGGAGGAGCGAGGAGGAGGAGGAGGAGGAGGGAGAGGAGGAGGATGGAGCAGAAAGAGGAGGATTAGGAGGAGGGAGGAGGAGGAGGATGAGGAGGAGGAGGAGGGGGGGGGAGAGGGAGGGGGAGGGGGGGGAGTGATGGGAGGAGGGAAGACAAGGAGGAGAAGGAGGAGGAGGAGGAGGAGGAGGAGGAAGGAGGAGGAGGAGGGATCCACTGTCCACTGGCCTCAGCTGTGGGCGAGGCGGCGGGCGCGCCGGATTGGTTCGCGGCGCCTGCTGGCAAGCGCAGGGCATCGACAGAAAAGCCGGAGGGAGGACAAGGAGGAAGAGGGGGAGGGGGAGGAGGAGGAGGAGGAGGAGGAGGAGGAGGAGGAGGAGGAGAAGGAGGAGGAAGAGGAGGAGGAGGAGGAGGAGGAGGAGGAGGAGGAGGAGAACAGCCAGAGGGAGGACAGAAACTGACAAAACTCGAGGCGGAGGACCTAGAGGACAAAAGGTCTTGGGAGGGACCCTCGCCGCTCCTATCGTTAAGTCGGGCGTGTCCCTCTACATCAGGAATGTTCAAAAGTAGTCAAAAAAGTATTGGGACGATGTGTCACCATCTTCGATTATTCCTTGGAGTAAGTGTTGTAGGGTGACACGCCCGCCTTAATCATACCGCGATCCTCTGCCGCTTCAGCCTTCGCAGCAGTCGAGCACTACCGGAGCAGATCGGCGCCAGCTGCACCCGTAGCTTGGCCCTCCAGTTGCAGTGGTCGCTATCACCCAGAAGGCAAAGTCCAACAGCTCGGACCTCATCCTCCTCCCTCCCTCCCCCCTCCTCTCCTCTCTCTCCTCTCTCCTCTCTCCTCCTTCATCCTCCCTCCGTCCTCCTCCTTCCTCTCATTCCTCCTCCTCCCCTCCTCCCTCCCCCTCCCCCCAATCCCTCCTCCCTCCTCCCTCAGCCTCCTCCCTCCTCCCTCCCTCCCCTCCTCCTCAAATCCTCCCTCCTCCCTCTCCTCCCTCCTCCTTCGTCCCTCCTCCTTCCTCCCTCCTCCTCCTCCTCCTCCTCCTCCGCCTCCTCCTATCGGAGCTTATCGGCGCCAGCCACACCCGTCAATTGGTCCCTCCAGTGACAGTGGTCGCTATCACCCAGAAGGCGAGGTCCGACAGCTCGGACCTCCCTGGCCACGCATCTTTCTGGGACTTCTGATCTACCTCGTCATGGAGGCGGAGGCGAGTTTTTTCATGGGAGTCCCGACTGATATGTTCGGATTGGATCGCCCCGCCGCCGTTTTTCCGCTCATGTCAGTGGGTGATTATGTATATTTGTCTCGCCGCCGATTTTTTTTCTGATATGCAGTTCTTTCTTGTGGTAACGGCGTGATCTCATCAGTGCAAACAGATTTGGCTTTCGTTCGCTACCTGACCGAGGCCGCGGCGATGACCGAGCCGGCGGCGCCCGAAATCATTCAAGAGCGCGTTCGCTTCGTTTGTCTTCGGGGCTGCTTCTTCGGCAGGAAGCAGCAGCAGGAGCCTCAGATGTTCGCGCTGCAGTTCACGGTGGCACCAGAAGAGCAGGCCCCCAGGACCAAGGCCAGTCAACATCAGGAGCACCTCGCGTGGAACATCAGGGAGACAAGTTCGAACCGGGATCGGCACCGAGAGGAGCAATGGAGAGAGACGTGGAGAAGTTGTTGGCTCGGGCTGGATTTTCTCACGAGGCAGTGCAAAAGCTAACCAACATGAAGGGAGGCGGCAGCGGCAGAAACAGCAACCGCAAGGGAGAATAGCCAGACTGGTCTCGATTGCTGGGTCTCAGAGGATGGCTAGACATGTGGAGCTTAGGTGCTGTGAGTGAGGCCGCCCACACCAGCCTCCAGTCTCGCACTTCGAAACAAGTTTTAGAATACAGTTCGGGAGGGCGTCATGTTTTACCAGACAGGAGCCCCAGCGGAGCCCAGCATACATGTGTATACACGTGTCTATATATACATACATTATGTATGTATAGATTATGTGTGTGCATGTACAGCTACCCACATACACGCATACACATGCACGCACACACATGTATGTATGTGTGTATGTGGGTATGCAAATGTACATGCGCAACTCCATTACCATAGGACTAAACCTATCAGTATGCAAACGCATGTACCTACGCATTTATATACACATATAGACATGTATGCATATGAATGAACATGTGCACGTGCTCACACCCATACACATACACTACACAAGATACACATATAGGTATTTGCATACGTGTACATAAATCATGCAAATAGTTGTACGCATACATGCACCTATACATGCATGTATGCATATATATATATACATGTACACATACATATACTGTACATTTGCACATACATTGTCACACGCATACCTAAACATATACATATACACTTGCAACTGCACATACATGCACATGCACCTGTACATGTCGGCATACACATGAATACCATATGTAATGCATCTACACGGATACACACCTACATGCGCACGCATATATGTATGTACATGTATGTGTGTAGTTATGTCTGCCTGCCTGCCTGTCTGACTGTATGCATGTATGCTTGGATGCTGGTATGAATGTAGTTGTGTAGGCATGTATACATGTATGTATGGGTGGATGTATGCATGTAGGTATGTATTTGTATCTAGACATTGTGTGTGTTTCAACATCTGTACATACACACATGAGGATAGCTTAATGGAGAGGGCCTCCCAAGTACGTTCTTATGGCTCGTGGCCTCTCCCTTTCCTCCGTTGACTCCCCGCCCCCACTCCCCTGCTCGCTCCTCCCGCCGCAAATACTTCGTCTATGCAAGCTCGGGGTGACTCGTAGTTGCACCGCTAGGGCTGCGCCTTCACGGCTCGCCCGCCTCAGGCTCCCAGGGGGTGAGGTGCCCCTGGCGGGCCACGCAGGGACCCGTTTTCACCGGGCGCGGTCCCGCTGTTGGGTCGGGGGCATCCCCTCGCAGAGCCGCCAGTGGGCGCTTGCTCGCAGCGTTCACGCAGCCATGTCCGAGCCGTTGGCTCGCAAGCGATCTTGTCTTGTCTTGTCGTGTCTCCTCCTCCTCCTCTTCATCCTTCGCCTCATCCTCCTCCTCCCCTCTTCTTATGCCCCAAAGTCCTCAGATCCCTTTCCCTCGAGCTTCGCCCTCTACTTCTTTCTCTCTCTCTCTATACCTGTGTCTGTGTGTGTCTGTCTATATTTCTGTGTCTCTGTCTCCGCTGCTGTCCCTCTCCCTGTCTTTCCCTCCGTACTATGTTTCAACAGGGTGCTGGAACACTAGCTCTCAGTGTTCCGCCAGGGGATCTCAGGGATCGTCTCGGGGAGTGCCCAGCTGAATGATGTCGCCTCCTCTTCGTCGAATATTTCCACCTCTCTCCCCCTCCAGGGCCCCCCACATCTGCCGCTCCTCCGGTGCCTCGCTGTCTTCATATTCCAACACATTCTCTTGATCATCAATATCGTCCTCCTCCATTGTGCCCATGCCGTCGTCCTCCTCCTCCTCCTCCTTCTCCTCCTCCGCCCCCTCCTCCCCCCCCTCCTCCTCCTCCTCCTCCTCCTCCTCTCCTCCTCCTCCTCCTTCTCTCCCCCTCCTCCTCCTCCTCCTCCTCCTCCTCCTCCTCCTCCTCCCCCTCGTGCTCCTCGAGTCCCCTCCCCCTCCTCCATCATCTCCTTTCTTTTGGACGAATCTCTCCCTGTCACACCCCCAGGCGTGCCGGCTGGGCCGACCAGGCGTTACGGCTAAGATTTCTTCGTCATTCGTGTTCCAGCATCTTCACGGTTCGAGGGGGGGCGTTTTCAAAGTGGAGTTTTCGCCCCAGTGCAGCGCACATTCGTGCTGACATGTTGCCGCAGTTTCACGGGCGGGGGGGGGGTGTTTCCAGAATGTGGTTCTCGCTTCTACGCGGTCCACATTCGTTTCAAAGACAGCGGTTTCGCGGATGAACGGGGTCATTATCAAATTGTGTTGTTTGCCCTAGCGCCGCGCACTCGTCTTCAAAATGTGCAACAGCTTCACGGACGGAGGGCGGTTTCTTTCAGATTGTGGCGTTCGCTTCAGCGCCGCGCGCATTCGTCCCAAAAGCTTCCAGCAATATCACCGGTGGACGCGGGGCTGTTGTCAAAAGCGGTTTGCGCATGAGGCATGAGCGCCGCGCACACCTGCCTTGATTACGGTGGGGGCGTTGGTTGAGGAATGCGCCCAGGAGGCCGCAGACCCTGGAGGATTCCTTATCTGATGGGGCTGGCGGTGATATCCATGGCCAAGCCTCGATTGGAGTTCCACTGGCCTCCAGACTCTGGATTCCTTATAGGGCTCCTTCTTCAATGCCCTCACCGTGTCATGCTGCAGCAGCTTGACGGATAGCGGGCGGCTCTTGCTCAAAATTGTGGCTCTCGCCTTTTAGCGCCGCGCACGCTCGCATTAAACATCTGCAACGGTTGTATGGGGATTGAGGGAGGGCGTTTACAAAATGCGTGTCTCGCTTCTGCGCCGCGCACACTTATTCCAAAGCTTGCAACAACAGCTCCACGGATCTAGGGGTGGATCGTTTTCATAGTGCGGTTTCGGCCGCAGCGCGGCGCACGTTTGCTACAGCAGTTGCACGCAGCAAGTTGAGGGACTGGTGGGGCTCGTTCGCTTCACGGATGGAGGGCGGTTCTGTTTCAATGGTATTTCTCTCGCTGTGGCGCCGCGAAGATTCGTTCCAACATGTCGCACTCGTTTCAAGGAGTGAGCACTGGACGCTTTCCAGAACGAGGCCACGCATTCTAGTGCCACTTCTAGATGGATTTCGACATGGAGCTCCCCCTGCAAGGTTTCGCCAGGTCCCAGCACCCAGAACTTCAGCGCACGCGGGAGACTGCGCGGGTCCATGGCGGCTCTTCTTCGAAGCTTGAAGCTCGCGAGCTCGAAACTTCGCGCCTCGAAGGCTGAAACTGGAAGCTCGTGAGCTCGAAGCTCGAGCTTCGAGCTCGCGAAGCTTGAAGCTTCTTCTTCTTCGAGCCGTCGCTCGAAACTTCCTCGAAGCTCGGAGTGTTCGTGACCACGCGTGTCTCGCGCCGGTGCGGCAGCTGCGCGGATGGGGGGGGGGGCCGGCCCCTCTGTCGAGAGGGGGGGCTCCGCGCGGGACACCTCGAGTGCCCCCCCCTCCTCTCGGCGGCGAGCGAGGGGGGGGAAGTGAGAAGGAGAAGGCACTCTTGTAGAAGGCTCGGAAGGCCCCCTGGCCGTCCGAGAAGTTTCCCGAGCCTTCCCCAAAGACGCCAAGAGCTTCGCAGAGAAGGCCCGCGAGGGCCCAGGAGGAGGAGCAGGAGGAGGAGGAGGAGGAGGAGGAGGAGGCGAGGGCTCCTGAGAAGTCCCGCCGCCTTTTGCGAAGGCCTTCTCCTTCTCGCTTCCCCCCCTCACTCGCCGCCGATCCTCATTTCGGAGAGGATCCCGGGACCTCCCGAGGGCTGCGCCTTGAAAAGCCCAGAACGCCGCACGGAGGAGGAGGAGGAGGAGGAGGAGGAGGAGGAGGGGGAGGAGGATGAGGCGGAGGAGGAGGAGGACGAGGACGAGGAGGAGGAGGGAAGGAGGATGAGGAGGAGGAGGAGGAGGAGGAGGGAGGAGGAGGAGAGGAGGAGGTTGGAGTAGGAGGAGGGGAGGAGGAGGGGTAGGTGGAGGAGGTCTCCTTCTCACTTTCCCCCCCCCCCCCGCTCGCCGCCGATCCTCCCCGGAGCCCCGGGAGGACCGCGCACGACGCCCCCAGCTGGTGCCATGGGCAGTGGCAGCCAGACCTCCCGCCGCCACGCTGCCACCCGCAGGGCGGCCTCGGGGAGGCCGCCCGCGACTTCCGCTTGCCGTCGTCGTCGTCGTCGTCGTCGTCGTCGTCGTCGTCGTCGTCGTCGTCGTCGTCGTCGTTTTCGTCGTCGTCGTCGACGACGAAGTCGCCGCGGCCGCGGCCACGGCCGGCCGAGGAGGGCGCCGCCTCGGCGGCCGTCGTCGTCGTCGTCGTCGCCGTGGTTTTGGCCGCCGCGCCCACCCGTGCGGTGGCCATCGCCGGAGTTCGAGCCTGGGGAGCGGAGAAGAGAGAGAGAGAGAGAGGAAGAGGAAGTGGAGGTGGGAAGGGAGGGGAAGGAGGAGGCGGAGGAGGAGGCGGGGGAGGAGCAGGAGGATGCGGAGAGCAGGAGGAGCATAAGGAGGAGCAGCAAAGGAGGAGGAGGAGGAGAGAGGAGGAGGAGGAACGAGGAGGAGGACGAGATAGACGAGGAGAAGGAGGTGGTGAAGGAGGAGGAGGAGGATGCGGAGAGCAGGAGGAGCAGCAGAGGAGGATGAGGAGGACGAGGACGAGGAGGAGGAGGAGGAGGAGGAGGAGGTGGAGGAGGAGGAGGAGGAGTAGGAGGAGATGGAGGAGGAGGAGAAGGAAGCGGGGGGGAGGAGAAGGAGGCGGGGAGCGAGAGGAGCATATTGAAGAGGAGGAGCAGCAGAGGAGGAGGAGGAGGAGGAGCAGGAGGAGGAGGAGGGGGAGATAGGATAAGAATGAGAGAGAGAGAGTGATAGAGAGAGAGAGAGAGAGAAAGAGAGAGTGCACCACTTCGGACAGTGTCACTGTCCGAGCCCTACGACTGCCTGCGCCGAACGGACCCCGCCTCACAAAGCGGGAGGCGCCGCATGCTAAACAGGGGGGGGGGGGGCGGGATGACCTCCCCACTGGCGCGGACAAATGGGCCCCAGGCTTGAGAAACGAGACGGTCGGCGGTGATCAGACCTTACGGGGGCCCGTCTGCGCCGCCGTGCGCAGGTGAGCGCCGGCGTCCAGCGAGGTTGGCATGCTCGCCTCGGCGCCCTGCTCACGGCCCTCGTGGTTGGCGTGCTGATTCAGTGCTTGAATGCTGGCGGTATGAGTTGGCTCGCGGTCCTCCCGTCGCTGCTGACAAGTCGCAGTGAGGTGCTGCGTGAGGGCCTTCCTCCGATCAGTCCGATGGTCTGAGGTCGCTCGGTTGCCAGCACCCCGGTGGGTGGTAGTCGTGCCCTTGCTCCCCGTGCCCTGGTGGGGCGGGCAGGGTGCCTCGTGGCAGGAGGCGCTGCGTTGACAGGGCGATTGTGTGCAGTAGCACTGGCCAGCTCAGCGGGCCGGGGCGGCGGCGCCGGCCCATAAGGGGAAGTCCGCGACCCTTCGCCTGCCATGCGCAGGTCCTCTCCCACGTGGGGCGGGGCGATGCCACTTCCGCCGGTGAGATTTTCGGCCGTGGGGGCTCCTCCTCCTCCTCCTCCGCCTCCTCCTTCTCCTCCTCCGCCTCCTCCTCCTCCGCCTCCTCCTCCTCCTCCTTACTCCCCCTCGTTCCTCCTCCTTCCTCATGCGTCCTGCTCCTCCTCATCCGCCTTCTCCTCCTTCTCTGTGGTGGGTGAGCGCAGACGTCTTCGCCGTTGAGGGAGGCCGCGAGGCCAAGGGGGCCAAGGCCGTCAGCAGCGCAACACCGCCATCGCCTGCGTGCTGGAGCCAGGGATCGTCGAGGTCCTCGAAGTCATCGGGACCTGGTCCAGACCCCCTCGCGTTGCGAGAAAATCACGACCAGAGGTTTTTCGCTATTTTCGGCCCCCAGGGGCCTTTGCCTGGCCTCGGGACCGTCAAAAAACGACTCAGGATGAAAGGTGTCGGAGAGGTCCGTCCTGGACTATCCCGTTCGTGCGTGGGGAAGAGGGAACGCGCGGTTTCGTTGATCGTAGATGGCGACGGCCGTAGTGTGTAAGACCGCGGCGAATTTGTGGCGTCATCTGGCAGCGTCGGCGACATCCTGTGGATGTTGTGTAACCTAGCTGCGTAGTGGCGAGTTCGTCGGCATGTCGGTTGAAGGTTTCCGCGATGGGCGTGATGCGGCCGTTGTTTTAATGGTTTGCTCACCGACGTGGCTTTCGACTTCCTTGATTTTGCAAACATCGGCTTTGGCTTGAAGCACCCAATGGATCTAATGCCAGAGATCCGATAGCGGTCCGACGCGCTGAGGCGGTTTGCCTTGGAGGTGGTCTTCGAGCACGTCCACCGCAGCTTGGTTGTCCACGACGACGTGCAATGTGGCGCAGCGGCACAAGTAGCAGTATCTTCGTCAATCCGCCATGCACTTGAACATGTCAACTTTTCTAGCGATATATTAGCTATGGGAGCCTCGCGGACAAGAAGTCGCAACATTTTTGTTTATGATGTTGGTGCCCTTGCCTTCGCTTTAGAACGTTCGCGATTCTCGATTCTGGAATACTTTTGGATGTAACTCCTGGGAGGTCAAATTCTGTTTTTGCCCTGGTCCGAAATCTGGCTGAATCCGGCTTGATCCTGCTTAATCCAGCCTACTCCCGCCAAATCCCGCTTAATCCGGCTTAATCCGAGGCCCATTCCGGCATAGCAGCCCCACGATGGGGCTAAATCCTCCCAGAGGTCGATGTCGTGATTTTTTCAATACGTGGTCCCCAGAAGTCTCGACCCATTTCCCAGGACCGGTGTTTCACACTGAGTCGTTTTTTGACGGTCCCGAGGCCCGGCGAGGGCTTCTAAAGGCCGAAAACGGAGAAAAACCTTCGTCTTGATTGTTTCAATACGCTGGATCTCTGGGTTCCTTCATCTTCCCGACGAAGACCTCCCAGCAGTTGCCTCCCAAGAGTGCGTCGCGACGTGCAGCACGGCGCGAGCCTCGGCGCGTTCTGCGCGGGCTTTGCCGGGCCTTGCGCTCGCGCGGAGTGGCGGCAGGGGGAGGCCCCCGAGTGCCTCCCCCTCCCCCTCCCCCCCCCCTCCTCCTCCTCCGCCTCCTCCTCCCTCCCCCTCCCCTCCCTCCTCCCTCCTCCTCCTTACCTCCTCCTGCCTCCTCCTCCTCCGCCCCTTCCACCTCCTCCACCTCCTCCTCCTCCTCCTCCTTCCTCCTCCTCCTCCTCCTCCTCCTCACTCCACCTCCTTTCCCCCTCACTCCTCCTCTCTCCTCCCCTCCTCCCCCCCTCCACCTCCTCCCCCTCCCGTCCCCCCCCCCCTCCACCTCCTCCCCCTCCTCCTCCTTCTCACTCCTCCTCCTCCGTCCCCTCACTCCCCTCGCCCCTTTCCTCCTCTCCTCCTCCTCTCCTCCCCTCCAACCTCCGGCCTCCTCCTCCTCCTCCTCCTCCTCCTCCTCCTCCTCCTCATCCTCCTCCTCCCCCTCCTCCTCCTCCGCTGCGGCTGCCGCGGGCGCCGCCTGGGGCTGCGCCCCCTGCGGGGCGCCGGCGGGGAGGTCCCGGCGAGCTTTCCTGTCGCGGCGCTGCCCAGAGTTAAGTCGGGCCTGTCCCCCTACAGGGGAATTTTCGACGATAAATAAAATACCCCAAAAATGCTCCCAAATTGCAAAAAAAATACTACAAAAACAGTCCCAGGATTATTTTTGGGCTATTCTTTGATTATTTTTGGGGTACTTTTTATTTCTCGTCGAAAATCCCCCTGTAGAGGGACAGGCCCGACTGAAGCCCAGAGATCCAGCGCACTGAGGAAATCGAGCCGGAGGTGTTTTTCGCCGTTCTCGGCCTTTGGAGGCCCTCGCCGGGCCTCGGGGCCGTCAGGAAGCGAGTCGGGATGATGAGCCAGTCCCAGGGAAGGGGTCGAGACTTCTGGGGACCCCGTGTTGAAAGAATCACGACGACGTATCTGTGGGTCACCGCCCACCACACCACCCCACCCGAGCCCGAAGGCCCCGATGTGCCCTCCATGTCCAGTGGGGAGCGGTCGGGGAACATTGTGAAAAGTACATATGAAGCCCGCACCCCCCCCCCATCCCGAGGTTCGGGTCTTCAGGTTGGGTTGGGGTGGTCTGGGGGTGGTCTGGTACCCAGAGACCCGACGTCGTGATTCTTTCAATACGGGGTCCCCAGAAGTCTCGACCCATTCCCCAGGACCAGCTTTTCGTCCCGAGTCGTTTCTTGACGGCCCCGAGGACCGGCGACGGCCTCCAGAGGCCGAAAACGGCGGAACACCCCCGGCCCGTTTTTTTCAGTGCGCTGGATTTCTGGGTAGGTAGCCTTAAGTCGGGCGTGTCCCCCTACAGGGGGATACAGAAAAAATCAAAAAATACTCTGGGGATTTTTTTTTTAACTATTTTTTTTGCCTTTTTGGGGCATTTCGGGGTATCTTTTATTTTTCGTCGAAAATCCCCCTGTAGGGGGACACGCCAGCCGGCACGGGCACCCCCGCCCCCCGGCGGCACCACCGGCGGCCACCGTGGGCCGCGGTAGGGCGGGGTGTGGTCTGGCGTATTTTGGTTGGCTTTGCGACTTGGAACTGTGTCGGAAATGCACCCCGAACGATGCGGAAAAGTATGGCGGAAATGTCCACCTCGGGGAGAGAGAGCGCGGATACTTCCGCAGAGGTGTGGCGAAAACGGCGACGGCAAAGTAGAGCGGAAATCGGCATCAAAGGAGCCCAACAAGAAGGAGATCCGCCCTACTTGGGCTTTTTTCCCCACTTAAAACTGCGTCGGAAATCCACCTAGAAGAGACCGAAAAAGTAGGGCGGAAGTTTCAACACCCAGCATAAAGTAGGGCGGGGGGTCCAGCGCGGATCCGAGAAATCCGCGCGGACCTCCGAGTTTTTGTGTTTATGTCACTTTTTGTTCCCCTATGGCGGGGTCGTGCCCGCGGGAATCAGGGACAACGATTGGGGGGGATATAGGCACAGGGACGCATCGAGGCCCCCAGCGCCCATGGATCGCCGATGGTCGAAGAGGAAAAAAAACGCCATAAACCTAACTTTGGGCGATCCGCGTGGACTTCTTGGATCCGCGCTGCCCCCCCCTGACTCCAGATCCGCCCTACTTTGGTTTTTTCCCCAACTTAAA